ACTAGATTGAAGAACAAAACGACAGCAACTTGTCTGTTCCCCTTCCCCCAACTCCCCAGCACTGTTCCCATCCCCCCAATTCCCCAATAAAAAATTAAAAAAAAAAACCATAAATAAAATGTATGACAGAGTTACCTATAAAAATAACAGGAACCTAAAAGAGATTTGACAGGATGAATTTAAACAGCAAAGCTAAATAATAATTCTCAAAAAGTAGGATTAAGTTGAAATTGTTTAGAATTTTTTCTAAATAAGAAAAAAAAGCCAAACAGCAATTAATTACAATAGACCTGGAAGAGCTAGTATTACTACAATAGTACACTCCAGAAAGAATTTTTTTTTAAATGGTTATAAGCTTCTTAAGGTCAAAAACCATATTTTAACCATTTGTTTATTCCCCATGGTGTCTGTATTTTCTTTTAAATGAACAATTCATTTACATATAGCTAAATGTTAATTTTACAGAAAAGAATATCTAAAAGCAGTACCACAGGAATCCAAAACAGAAAGACCAGCAATGGTTTTTCTATAATTATAATATGACATTAGAAGGAAAAAATGTATTTGGATTTCAAAGTTTCTAGGGAAAGATAACTTTAGCTCTTGAAGTAACTTATGTTGCCTAAATATTAATAAACACTTAAGAATGTCAGTAAAGGGGATCATACATCTGTTCTTCTTTAGGAAGAGAGAAAGAACAGAATTTTTCAAAAGTAACAGCAACAGCTTTCTGCAAATTATCACATTTTAAAAAAGTATTTACTAAGGTTCTTCAGAAAATATTTTTGAAAAGTTAGTACCAGTTATACAAATGCTGTAAAAATTACAGAAACCTCACCTATAGGCCAAAAAACATTTTTTTATAATTACTAGACAGAAGTATAAATTGTGGAAAAATTTAAACTGATTATTAAAGAAGTTTCATTGCAAGTATGTATGCCTAGTTTATTTTTTTTTTATTTTTTTATTTTTTAGCTGAGCCATCCTGCTACCTGTTGGCAGCTCGGTGACTGCTCAGCTCGGGCTGGACTTGAACCACTGTTGCTCAGAGCTCAAACTCTTGAGTGAGCTCTTAACCAACTGAGTCACTCGGCCGGCCCTGCCTAGTTTATTTTAATCATATGTAAACTTTTACATTTACCAAAAGAGCAGGCTCATATTTCTAAAATCCAAAATCCTACTTCTGGAATATGAGAGAGGATGGAATTCTTCACACATAGCTCTGCCAATTAGAAAACCTAAAACTATAACATTATGGCTTACTTAATACCCATCATTTTTGTGGATATTTATTTATAAAAAAATTGGCTTCTCAAAGTTCTAAATGTCATCCTAACTTTATAAACCAGACTACAATTCTGGTGATTTAAAAAGACAGATGTTAAATTTTTTTAAATAGTATCTTCTATATTAGCAACAAAAGCATTACAAACAATATTATTATATTCTAGATAAGAGAACAAAGAGGGAAGCCAATGCAAACTCAAAAATATCTTTTCACATGTCAGTCTTGGGGATACTCTATGTAACCAGTTAAAATAATGATTTTTTTAAATTTTACATAATATTAAATGACAAAATAAGTGATGGTTTCACTAATAATCTGGCAATATTACCTCAAAAAGAAAGACTTAATGTTGTATAGCAGTAATTCAATTTTTTTCTCATTTCTAAATTACTTTATTCTCTTTCTAAATAAAAGTGTTATTTTAGAAGAAACTTCAAATTTGACAAAAATCTTCATTAAATTTACCTCAAAATTAAATCATAAAACATAAGAATTTTAAAAACAACAGATATTCCAAGTGATCCTTATTTAAAGGTGGGGGGGGAAACCTTACAAAATATTGGTGAAATTACTTAAGATTTCAAAAGATTAAACTAATTACATATTAAATCTCAACAGATACCTTATCATCATAATCCTGTAAAATCAAAATGAAATAAACCTATTGCCATCACTCCAAGTCATATCCCAAATTACCAAACAAAAATTAACATAAAAGCATTCTACGTAAGTTTTTATACACCTCTACCACACTTTTGAACTCACTTGGGTAAATATGGATCTTTCCAACAGCAGCAGCAGTTTGTACAAAGTTATTTACCTTGTCCAGGTCTTGCAGCTACAGCTGCTCCAGCAGATGGCGGCTCAAACTCCTGTCAATTACAATAATGTTATTACAGTGACCTATTACAATGTGCAATTTGTAATAAAATAGTAGTGATATCACAGACTTACCTTTGCTTTCTTTGGGTCTGGATCAAACCTTTCAAGAATTAATTTAGCCGTTTTATAAGTTTCTTTTTCCATGACTTCTTCAAGCTGCGAACAAAAATTTCCATAAATTGTTACATTTTAACACACACACATTACTTATTTTATAAGTCCTAGTCAAAAAGTGTTCAAATATAAGGCTTAAAATAAACAGCACATAATATATCCAGATAGCATGAAAGACTTCCTACATTCAAATAATTAAAATCCAGATTTCAAAATGACTTCTAACCTCTAATGTTACTTGTATTTAACAGCTTTACTGCAAGGAAATACCAAATATTGCTAATTGTTTACATATAATGAGGAGAATAATTACATGCACCAACTTCAATAATGGAATGTGCAAAAATCTATCAGCCATCATTATTGGAAGTTATTAGACATGACAAGCAAATGACAGGCAATTCCTCAGATTTATTTCCTCATAGCACTTAATGCTATTAATTTAAAGAAGGTCGTTAGCCAAGAGCTTTACAAAATAAAATCTCTGTGCCAATTAACTGCTGTCAGCATCGATTTTAGATTATTTATTAGCAGAAGCAATTAGCTTGCTGCAAATGCAGTGAAAACTCACTAACTGGGAGAACAGCCATGGAATTGGCTCAAATGACTTTAAAAGCTGAAGCTCCCCCTTTTTTATTTAGATTCACACAACTTTAGAGGAAAAAAACTGAACATAGTAAGAATTTAAGTAAAATTTTTACTGAGTTCTATGCTCACACTAGGAGCCGTAATTAAAACATTTCACTATTATAGCATTTTATTTACAATGCACTCAAGTCACTTTATGGCTTAATACATGGGTTTAATTTTAAAAGTAATCGCTAGTAAAGTATCATTTTAGCAGTTATGGCCCAATATCAGAAAAAGTTTAACTTTAGTGTTAGTCAAAGTTATGACAAATAGTTAATGCATAAAATAAAATGCTTTCACAAAAATTGGAACAGAACCTTTTCCTTCTCGGTGACCACTGATAGCCACTTAGATTCATTAAATGTCATATTCCAAAGGACATTTATTTTTAAATGCAACACAGAGCACATTTAACAAATTAAAAATACAGTTAAAAATATGCTGCCACAATAGTAGTTAATAGATTCCTCATTAAAAACTCAATTTAACATTTAAGAAGCTAAGTGCTTAGATGAATGATTTATTAACCCTGATTTAGTGAAACTAAAACATTTTCCTAATTATTGCAAAATTACAATAAATTCTCAAAACAAGAAAGTTTAATTTTCTGATGTAAAGGAAATGTTTGTAATAGCACTTTAGAGTTAGAGAACAACTGGGAATAAGGTTACAGAGAGGACATCACAGAATATATCCCCAAATCAACATAATCTACATGGATTATCAAAGAGCTGAATCCCTGATCTCTACAAATTAATTTTTGATGTTTTAGACCAATGCTGTGGCAATAAAACTTTATATAATGATGGAAATGGTTTATATCTGCACATATAGTAGCCACTAAACCATATGTGATAAATGAGCACCTAAAATGTTGCTCATGCAAATTGTAATTTTATTCCATTTTAAATAATGTAAATTTAAAAAGCTACATGGGGCTACATAACAGCTTAATTAACACACTTATCCATACAACATTTTAGTGAATAACTTGATTTAAATAGACATTCTGACCAGTGGAAAGAACATAAACTTGAAACTCTGAAGTTAGAAAAGAACTGGGTTCAAACCACATCTCTATTCTTAATCAGTTAGAAAGACTTTAACCAAGTCTGTTAGCCTCAGTTACCCCTTTTGTAAAGCAGATACATTAAGATTGTCTTCATAGCACTGTTGTGCAATTTAAATATAATAATGTAGGAGAAAGAGTCTATAAAAGTACCTAACACAATAACACATAATTTTCAATGATCTCCCAATTATTCAGAATGGGTCTGAAACAAACAAGTGTTTTGAAACAAGTTGGTTTCCAGATATCCAACATATTAATCCCAGAATTTAGGAGTGAGAAACTGAAATCTCAGAATGCCCTAAATTATGTTACTCTGTATTTTTCAAAATCTTTTATATATATGATATTTCAAATAATAAGGAATGATATAATAGAGTGAATTATTTTACTGTGATATGGTTATACTAAAAGTTTCAGAGTTTTTTATTTTAAAAAGAGAATAAAATATTCATTTATTAGGAATCAACATTATTTTGAAAAGATTTTATATTTTAATAACATATAACAATTATTTCTACCTGGTATAGACATTTCATCATAGCGAACAAGAAAAAGGAATACTAACACAAATAAATGTCAGGATTTTTTTTAATTTTGAAAAATAATTCCACAAAAGTTTGATATTTAAAGTATTATTCTTGAAATAAAATTTTAAAACACACAAAGCATTAACTGCCCTATCCAATATTCTTGATTTTTGTTTCATGACAAATATTCCAGACACAGAAAAATTTCTTTCGTTTTGCATTGACTTGGTCAAATTATTAAGAATATGCCAAAAAGCATCTTAAATTCAGAGCAGTAGGGTACTGTTGTATCATTTAAGCTCGTGTTTTTACAACAATGAAAATATTGTCTGCTTACTCTCATTTGGGTTTTGCTGTTGAAATCAATATTGTTTTTACCAATTCAGATTTTATACTATTTTCTGATTTCACATAGGAGTATTTCACAATAATAGTCACATCTTTTCTCTCTCCATTTCTTCTGTTACAGCATTTACAAAGATCTGTAGCCTATGGTGAATATTCAAACACTGGAAAATGCCAGCAAACATTATTGGGTAATATAAAAATGTAACATTTGAAATGCTAGTGAGGTTAACAGCACTACACAGACTCACATGCTGAAATTGCCAATTTAAGGACATCCTTTGCTTCAAAAATTTATTTCACAGAATAGCATTCACAGGATTTTGTAAAAAGTATATTATGTGCATAATTTATTTGTAAGAATAACTCACCATTAATAACAGGCAGGCACATAAAACATACTTATAACATGGCCACAAAAGCAAGACTGACTAATTAGATTGTGCCACTTCTCTTCTACATGCTTTTTGTCCTGTTTCCAGAAATGTCCACATTAACCTATAGCTCAACATTTCAGAATTTTACTCTTGCTTTCAACTGACATTAGTGGATTCCTTTGAAACAGTAACATTTGTAATTGACTGTTAAGCTTTAATTCTCAAAGAATTATAACACTTCTTCCCATGTTCCCGCTTTCTCAACTGTTTTTTTCTCAGGATTTGGAAAACCTTAAATTTCCTGAGAAATGCCAGAAAGGGGCTACCACATAGAAATACTAATTTGGAAAAAACATGGCATTTTCATGAAGCCACTTAAAGAGGTCATTTTGACTCATGTTTTGGATGTTGTCTTTGAATTGTTTTGATGGGATGTTCATGGACGCAGAGGGATTACCTATTGAACAGTGATTTTTTTTTTTAAAACCAAATGTTTTTTTTAAAAACCAACCACAAAGTATGTGAGTGGAAAAAAGGACACATTCAGACTTGAAAGTTTTTTAAATAACTAAACATTAACTCCTAGCTTTATTTTAGTAAGTACTTATATTAAGTTCATAGATTTAAAACATTGTTAAGATATTACTCATTTTCCTTTCTAATTTAACTTTTTAATCAGATGATAATTCATGTTCATTGTTACAAATTACACTTTTACAAATTACAAATTACATTACAAATCTATTCAGATTAAAGAGATACATCCCTAAGGAAACTACCTTTAATAAAATGTCAAGTAGTAAATATAAACTTGTATTAATTTTATTAGTAAGAGAAGGTTTAGGAGTTGAATAATTTTAGACTGATAGTTATTTTTCCCATTGGCATTTCAACAATAAAAGTACTTTTAAGGCTATAAATGAAGAGTTTAAACTTGTAAACATCAATGAACAAGATCAGTTTTGATTACATTTAGGTTTTGCTCAAAGTAATGTCCCTTCCTTCTTCTCTCATTACCAGCAAAATCATTAGCTAGCACTGTGCTATTTACTAATTCACCTCTAACACCTATTGTTCTAAACAAAGTGTAAAGTTACTCAAACAAAGCAGTTTTGTTAAGGGCTTGAGCAATAAAGTCCAGGGACTAGTTCCTAGTAGCAACAGTATTATAACTAGCAATGGTCAAGTCAATGTAAATTGTGTTCACTAATTAATGAGTTAGAGCAGCCAACTTATTTTTCTTTAATCATACTACAAGAGAAATTCCACAGTGAACTATTTAACATGATGCTTCATGAACCATTTAGATATACATATACACAACTACTGAACCCTAAACTGAATTTTCCAACTGTCAGGCCTAGATGAAGCATCTTTTATGCTGTGATTCCTTCAAGGGCTATTGAAGAAGAAGTAAATAATTTGGCTGGCCCTTTCACAGAATTTTCCAAGTCTGCTCTGTTACTCTATTGAGTTTTTCCCCAATTATATGTGCTCCAAGATTGTGTTTTCTGGTGATGTGATGCCACTGATATTGAGACAGCTTCTCATCACTTAGAATTTTTAATTTTCTTCTGCTTTGTCCTTTTTTCTTTTGTCTTCCTCTGTGTCTTTTCTACCTTAATCAATATTTCTCCATTTTGGTACAAGTAGCGCTTGGCTCTGACCATTACTACCAGCTCTTCTTTTTATCACATCGGCAAACCAAACCAAGCATATCACAACTTCTACATTACTAAGAACCATCAGTATTTTCTCACTTTGAATTCTGGCTGTGCCATAATGTACAGAATGTCAGAAATATAATACAATATAATGGGAATGTTTATATGTTTCAATTTAGGACTATCAAAAATGTTAATGCAATTCTGATAAATACCTCACAGAACATTGAAGAAGCATCAAACAAAACAGATAAGGAATCCTTTCAGAATTAAAGTTCCTTTATTTTTCAGGTACTTAAAACCCTTAAGACCAGTGTCTTTTATTACCAATTCACAGAACAATTTTTAACATTAATCTTAACTTTCATAATTTTTATTAGTTTCAAAATAATTGTTACATATTACATGTTAGGTTAAAATACACTGATCATTTTCATCTGATTAAATTTAACTAAATAAGTTTCCATATAGCATAATACTATCAACTATCAAATACTACAAAAATAATTACATGAAAAAATACATGTAAATTCAAGACAAAAACCAAATTCAATTCACTTATTAGAGACTATTATATATTAACCTCTAAATATCTAGGGCCCTTCCTTTCTTACTCTTGATCCGCTTTCCAACGGAAAGAATATCGGAAGAATGTACTTTACTGGCCCCACAAATAGATACTCATGTAATCAGAGTTGCTGATAGAAAATGGATAAAACCAAAGAAAAAAATTCTCTCTTGCTCCCTTTTTCTTCATCCTTTTCATGTTAAATTTGTTGTTAACAACCAACCTTCTTGATTCCCTCTTAGCCTTATCGTGTCAAGAAAACCTGAGAACTGACATAGGTAGATGCTTAGTCCTTTTTTGGCCCTAATCAATAATCAATCTGGACACCCACCTTTTTAATCCCTCTGCCTCATTTAGTCTTCCAATATCATTCATTTACTTACTTCTCAGCTTCCAACTGACATAGATTCTCAGAATCTCAAAAGTCCATATAACTACTTTTTCCTGTCAATCATTATTAACTAGCAAAAATACTCATAACTTAGCTTCATCATTAAAATGCTATCTAAAAGCATACTTGTTTCTTAGCGAACCATTACTTATATAAACATTAATTATTCAGTTCTTAATTTATTAGTTTTATATAAGTTAAATTTAACTTACTATTTTTTTCTTCTTTGATTTTAAATCGTCCAATGCTTCATCTAGAAAACAAGATTTAAATCAAAGCTAAATCAGATATTAAGTACTTAGAGATAAGAAAAAAATCATGCCAAATGATATATATAGTAAGCAACTACAAGAAAACTTTCTCATTTTAGGATTTCTCACCAGTGTGTACAGATAAAAATCATCACAATCTTTACCCATATATATTTCATATTTTTGTCTATATTATATATTACAAGCAAAGTAGGGAAAAAATGGACTTTACATAGAATACAATACTTTTCCAAATTTAAAAAGATATATTTTTATGAATGTTTTCAGAAACATTAGAATTACTTCTCCTTCCTTCCTTTTTTTTTTTAATTAAAGTTTATTGGGGTGACAACTGTTAGCAAAGTTACATAGATTTCAGGTGTACAATTCTGTAATACATCATCTATATATCACATTATGTGTTCATGACCCAGAGTCAGTCCTCTTTCCATCACCATATATTTGATCCCGTTTACCCTCCTCATCATTCTCCTTCCTTTCAATATCCCACCCGAGTTTACAAAATTAATGCCAAATCTCTTTTTATGCATTGGTAATAAAAATGTTCTTTGTTTATAAATGCATAATATATTTTATTAAGTTATTCAACCTTCAAGATACTGAGCAGTAATAAAGAAAACCTTTTGAAAATCTCCAGCATTATACATGCAGAGGGAATTGGAAAGGAAGAAGACACTAATCACTTTTCAAAATTAAACTTTTCTAAGATTTCCCTGCTTATTTAGGTTAGCACAGTGTAAAATGAAGAATCATTTAAAAAAATATCACTTATGAATGTCAATGTTGGCTTTACAAATTTATTTCAGGTTTCTAGTTTTTATCTAAAAATATTTAACTAGCACAAATAGGAATACTATTCCAGCTGGAAAGATGAAAGTTATAACTTGATTTAAACATTTTATCAAATAAGATTAAATAATTGTTTTTAATTTTTAATTAAATTTATAAATGACTTTATCTCTTCATTAAAGTTCTGGGGTAGCAAACACCTGACTATCCAATTAAATATATATCATTTATGAAAAAATCCAAAAAAATACAAACTTATAGAGATGACTTACTTACAAAAAAAAATTTTTTTTTCAAAATACATTAAATAGTCTTTAATAAGCTGGCAAACTTATTACTAAAGGGGAAAAAAATTTGCTGGCATCTTTAAAGAAAACAGACCTCTTTGGTTAGATAAGACCAAGCCAAATATCTATCCTTTAACCAAGAGGTCAGCAAGTTTTTTCTGTAAAGGGCCAGACAGTAAATAGTTTAGGATTTATGGACAAAAAGGCAAAATCAAGTTGGTACTTTTAAAGCAAAAGAGAAATTCCACAAATCTTTGATTGACAAAATTCAAATATAATGATAATAATGAGTTCAAGTTTTTGTTACAGGTTTAGCAATGAAAATAATGGAACTATTTTCTTTTTGTGTGGAGGGATAACACTGCACTTAATTGAGATTCAAAGTTAGTGTTCCCTTATCATCAAATTGCAAATTTTAATCTGTTAATGTTGATCTGTAATGGGATTTTACACACTGGATTTTTGAAAATGTTTTTTCACACAGATAGATACTGCTAAATACTGAAGTCAGTCCACAAGCACATGATTTTTATTGAGCATATTGATTGTCTGGAAGGCATTTATAGAATTCTTCAGATTTTTCTCTTGATATTTGCCTTTTATCATGCCATTACATGGCAAGTTAATCACTTCTGATTGAACATTAGTGGAAGCTCCTCAATTGTACAGTTAAATGGATTTTGAAATATGGAAATTTCCTGACATTTGCATGAGCTCTGAAAAAAACTGCTGAAACTGTAGTTTGAGTTCAGATTATGTATCTGCTGCAAATTTGTGTGGAATAGAGATCTTGCTTGTTTAACTTTTCATAGCATTTTTTAAATTACTTTTTGTCATTACAATGTTGTTTTCTAAATGACTTTATGGCAGTGAAATTTTCACATATGGGATTGTTTTGTCTCGCACTCTTAGGTTAAATTCATTAAGAACCATTATCAAATCTGCAGCAAAAGTCAATTTCCAAAGCTGGACAGCGCGTTCATTCAGTGTCTGAAGGTGTTTCTTCTCACTCCAAAACTTTCAATCTGGGCTCTGAACTCAAAAATCACAATTAGACTTTACCACTGCTAAGCCATCAAACTACTGTGTGGTACAGCAGGTCTAGATATTCAGCTTCTACTTCTGATAAAAGTTCACATAAGTGACGATGGTTAAGTCCATAACAACAAATAAAATTCCCCATTAACACTACTATTAGTTTAATAACACACGATAAATTCAAATATGCTCTGCGAATTACCGGCTGTTGAATAGCACAGTGAATAACCATAGAATTTAAATGCCTTACAGTTTCACAAGCTTTGTAAATTAATCCAACTAAGCCTTTTTCTGCTTGACACATATTTTTACAATAGTTGTAATATATCTTAGCAGGTTCCACTTCAGGTTGTACTGAATTAGTGTTTTTTCAGCTTCAAAATATTCTCTCCTGGAATTGTTCTACACAAATTTTTCATAGAGGCTAACTCTTCAGTCACTTCAAGCTCAGTACTGAATCCTCAAATAAACTACAATTGAGCGGTATCAATAACATTTGTCAACTCATCAAGAGCCAAAAAAGATTAACTCACTTGAATTCATTTCCTTATTTTTAAATTGACTATGTTGCTTACAATGTTCTCACTTCTTCAAGCAATAGTTGTTGCTTGCCAAAGACTACTAGCCAAACAAGTGTATTTTCTCTGAACACATTTCTCCAGCTGCTTCAAACAAACACAATTTAATTAACTCACCATCAGTAAGTGGCTTTCTTTGCTTTGCAAATAAGCCATTCAGAAACTCACTTTGAAGTTCCATTTTCACTTTTTATTTTTATGAAGAATTTCTGCTATGACAAGATATTACATTTTAAATTTTTCTGACCATTGCTTAGCTGTGAGTTGGGAATATGATGAGTACTTGGTATGGTACTCATTAGTCAATGAGTACTTAGTGTGGTATTAGTTAATGTATATTTTATTCTTTTAGCACAGCTATAATGTCACTGCATAATAAACACAATGCTTTGTGTTTTGATAACAAACGTCTACACTCTATTGTATCCTTAAAGTGCAACATTCAGAGTCCAATTTTCTTTCTTGTTTTTACATAATGAGTTTACACTGGTAACAAAAAATAAAATTGCCACAATACAGCAATGCAGGTGGCACTTGAAATGCTGTCAAGTTAAAACTATGTCACTGTGATTTGTTGTGCATCCTGTAATAGTCTGAAGTGTTGAGAGCACCACATACAATCTTCCACAATTACTGAACTCTGCTATTATAGAATGAAAGCAGCTATAGACAACATAAATGAATGGGCATGGCTGTGTTCCAATAAAAACAAAAATTTGAATTCCACACAAAGTTAACATTTCACAAAATATTCTTCTTTAGAATTTTTTCAATGATTTAAAAATGTAAAAACCATTCTTAGATCATGAGCTGTACAAGGTGATGGGCAGGACTTAACTTATGGGCTTAGTTTGCCATCCTTTAATTTAATCTATAATAGGTCTGACTTGTAAAACGAAGGAAGTAGAACTAATAGAGAACAAAAAACAAGAATACACCAATAGCTTCAGGCATATATATATACACACACACACATATATGTGTGTACATATATATATGTACACACATATATGTGTGTGTGTGTGTGTGTGTGTATATATATATATATCCAAAAAAAGTGTACACAACTGTATTAAAATTACACTGATGGTAACCACCTTGAGCACCTCTTATAATTGCAGAAGTCAAATGTGACTTGTATTATATTGAGTATTACAATTTAATAGTTTTTTCCTTTCTTAAAATGCGTATACATTTTTTTTGGCACCCTCTATATATATACCCTGACATTAAGCTTTAAAAACACGTATAAGACTACAAGACAATCTTTTATGAAGTCTATTTTAAATGTGACTTATGCATTACTTATTCAAACACTCAAATGAATTAGCAATTTTTTTAAATGAAAGGATCTCTAATATAAATTTTTAAAGCAAAGATTCTTTTTTTTTTTTATTGTTAGTTTCAGGTGTACAGAACAATGCAATAGTTACCCTTTTCACCCTCACAAAGTAACAACTCCCCTCCCCCCATCCACTGCCCTCCCACCCCCGATATCATGCTTATCTATTACAATTCCATTGAATCCGTTCCCGCACTCTACTCCATGTCCCGAGGTTATATGTATATATAATTATAGTTGACATACAGTATTATTCAACATCAGTTTCAGAAATACAATGCGGTGATCAGGCCTCTACAGGAAATCAGTATGGAGGCAACTCAAAAATCTGAAAATGGAACTACCTTACGACCCAGCAATCCCACTCTTAGGTATTTATCCAAAAAATCCCAAGACATTAATCCAAAAAAATATATGTACCCCTATGTTCATTGCGGCGTTATTCACAATAGCTAAGACTTGGAAACAACCAAAATGCCCATCGGTAGATGACTGGATTAAGAAACTTTGGTACATTTACGCAAAGATTCTTTTATATAATTACCAGGTCCTGATGTGCCTATTTGTAAGTTAAATGTTCATACATTTGATTTCCTAGAAAAGTGTTTCCAAAGACTTTTTTAAAATAAGGTTTCTTATATTTTTCACTGTTTTGTTAGTTCCACCAAGTCAGAGAAGCATATTTGTTTTAAACTTCTTCCTATCCTCCCAGCAGCCACTATATTACTAAATATCACTGGAAACAGTGCCATAAGCTTAATTCCTTTAATCTAATAAAAAGTATCAATATTTTTTAAAACCATACCAAGCCTCATACTTAATGGTTAATCAGGAACTAGACAAGGATACCTGCTATCCCCTTCAATTCAATAATATTACACTGGGTACTAACTCATTAAGGCAAGAAAATTTTTAAAAGAATAAGAGCTGATAAAAGAAAAATTAGTACCATCAGCCCACATGTATATTACACTTTGCAGCGTTTACATGCTTTCACAGAGTTTTAATACTTATAATGTCTTGCCAAAACAAATATTTGTTTCTAATTTATAAATAAGGAAACTGAGGTTCAAAGAATTTAAAATTATTTGTAGAACAAAAAGATGTCTAGTATGGCTGAAGCAAAAGTGAAAAAAGATGAGTGGAAGGAGATGATGTTAGAGAAATGACATAGACTTGGGGTAAGAATTCAGATTTAACTCTGGTTGCAAAGGGAAACCATTATAGAATTTTAAGCAAAAGAGCCACAAGATCTGATTTATACCTTAAAAATAGAAGCCATTGCAGTAGTGCAAGCAAGAAATGATGATGACCTGAGTTATAACTGTGGTAGTAGTAAAGAAGGTTAAAAGTGGTCAGATTCACGATAATTTTGGAGGTAAAGTGATAGGACTTTGAAGGGGAGAGAAATGTATGTTAGATTAAACGGAATATGGCGTGAGCATAGTGTTTTCCCCGCCAGATGATTGTATTGATGCAGAATTATATGCCAATAGGGATAATCCAATAGAAACAGATGATGCAAAAGAGAGGAAAATTCCTGGAAGGGATAACTGCAAGAGCCAAGTTCTTGAGATGGCCAGAGTATCCAGAATCCAAAGCATAAATGAGAGCTTAACCAGAGATGGGATCAAAGTCAGTCTTCCAGAATACCATGAAGATGACAACATACTGAGTAACAGATGGAGCTAACTTGATACATTTGGTGACAGAGATGAGCTCCAATCTGCCTACATCTATTTTTCTCCTTAAAGTGAGACTATCAGCTGAGAGTGGCTGGGTAAATTTTGTGGAGTTTTGTTTGTGGCTTCTGAAATTTTATTTGGTTGCTTAGTTGGCTGTTGCTTTGTTTTATTTTGGTTTTGGGCAGAGAGGCAGGTATTAGTAATGTGAAGAGAAGTACAATTTCAAACAGTGCTCTCAAAGAGAAAAAGTGAATTTACTAAGGAACTATAAAATAGGTCTGTGTAGAAATGTTAAGTATACATTTGGTATTTGCAATCATAGATATTTTTAAATAAGTCTGGTCAACATGTTGTATGACTTTCCTGTAACAAATTTACCTTTTCTACTATAGGCATAGATTAACCATATAAATGTTTTTAACCAGGGTAGGGTTTTGCCAGTCATAGATTAAGCATATAATTGTATTTGAACAAGGTACGGTTTACCAGACAAATAGGCTGGGAAAGAGGGCAAAGAAGTCAAGGGAGTCTGCAAGGGATGGTCAGTGGGCTAGACCACAGAGCCTAAACTGGGTAAAAGTCATGAGCAAGGAGGACAGTTTGAAATCATTTATCTGTATGATCCTTATTTGGATCCTGAGTCAAACACACAAAATATTTTTAAAGCAAATAATACTTATGAGATAATTAGAAATTTAATGTTTATATTTAATATTTTATATTAAGAATTCTCTTATAAGAAACAAATTAACAAACAAAACAAAAACAAACTCATAAACACAAACAACTGACTGGTGGTAACCAGAAGAAAAGGTGGTGGGGGAAAGGCAAAATGGGTAAAGGGGATCAAATACATGGTGACGGATGGAAACTAAACTATTGGTAGTGAGCACACTATAGTGTACACAGAGATAACCAATTACAAGATTGTACACCTGAAACTTACATAATGTTATTAAACAATGTTACCTCAGGACTTCTTTTAAAATTCTTTTTCAGGTATTATAATGTATTGTGTTAACTTTTTTAGTCTTTTATGGATGGATAGATATATTTGGAATATACTTCAGAATAATACACGAGGCGGAGAAGTAAATCGGGGTAAAAATGAGATTGACCATGAGTTCACGATTGTTTAGGTTGTGTGATAGGTATATAAGGGTTCATTATACTCTTCAGTCTACTTTTGCATATGTTTGAAATTTTCTGTAATAAAAAGTTAAAACAAGAAAAAGTAGGTCACATATAAAGTTCATTTCAAGTGAAATTTGCATAGCTTTGGTTAATTACAGTTCATAGGTTTAAGACCTGAAAAATCTTTAAAATCTGTACATACACATAACAAATACAGAAGATTTTTTCATAATTTGCATACTTCAATAAAAACAAAAGCCCAGGTCCTGTGAGGTTCAAGAAAATGGTGCAATTAATAAAATAAATTAAAAGACATGTTACCATATCTTACTCTATAATAAATTTTCTATAGATTAATTTAACAAATATAATTTATCTTGATTTAAAGAAATGAATTATTTTTGTTTTGTGTAAAAATTCTAAATGAACAAGACAGAAACAACAAATAAAAAATAGAACCATCTTGATCATTCATAACCTTTCTTACCCTTTACAGTAAACCTCTTCAATATTTACCACGTTGTCATTTCAATGCAGCATTTCACAACCTACCATTCGATTACAAACAATGCACTATAAGATGGATTTTTTAATGCATTTATAAAAACTTAGAAAATCAACTTACTATTTCTTTCTGTTCTCTTCGAAAAGAAGAAAATAAGCACTGTTCTTATGCTCCAGATGCTATAGAGGAAACAAAATTCAGAAACAAAAACCCATCATTAGAATAAGTAAATTAGAAGCCATATAAAATGAAGAAAATACACATTTCCAATGAGAGTTAGGTGGATTATTTCCTTTGATATGTTGAAAATCAAAAACTACTCCTTTCTTTCAGAGACCATCAGAAATCTAACTGTGCTTTCCAAGGAGGAGTTCTCAATCTAAAATCCAAGGACCTTCTGAGGGTCCCCTGAATTGTGAAATTGCCATTGTGTGCATAAATGCATTTCTCTGGAGAGACCACTGCTTTTGTCATTCTCAAAGGTGTCTAGTAACCCCACAAAAGATTAAGAGCAAATAATACAATCAATCCCTTCTTACTAAGTTAAGCATCAACTCCAAAAATTTGTCTATTCCCATGCATTAAGGGAAAATCATGTTGTACAAATCCAGAGCATTATACAAATGTAAGTTGCTACTCCCTTCCTATTATTTAACTTTGGAGGGATGTTCTCTACTAAATAGAATAAGCTATCTGGAGGGGGAAAAAATTTTACCTTCAAATAAATACTTGATAAGTAAATTTAGCTATACACCTCCTTCCAAAGGTTTTATGAGGATAATTGTTCAAGCATTGCATTAATAAGACATCAAATGAAATTAAAAGAATTAAAAAGAAAACCAAAAAATGATCCTAATCACAAACTTATCAAGGTCATCTTTTAAATTCAAAGTAAATATAGCAAAACACCACTTTCTCCATAGAACATGACAAAATAAATATACATTTTTCATCATTTTATAAAAGAAATAAATTATATCTGTATATAACTTCAGATATTAAGCCTGAAAATTAGTTCATTACTCTAAACTATCATTGCTATTCTTGGTAGTCAGCCTGCATGGTAGTCACCAGTGAACACTTTCTTCTGGTATTCACACCATTGTACAGTCCTCTCTCACCAGTGTTGGTGTGTGTGACCCACAGCATATGGCAGAAGTGATAGTATGTCACGTCAGGGTTAGGTTATAAAAGACTACAACTTCCATCTTGGGTCTCCACTTCCCCTCACTATCTTTCTCTATCTTGGATTACTCATTCTGAGAGAAGCCACCTGCTATGACATGAGGACATTCAGGGAACTCTATAGAAAGGCCCAGGAGGCAAGAAACAGAAGTCTCTGAAAACAGCCAGTGATGAGGAGCTGAGACCCGCCAACAACTACATGTGTGATCTTGAATGTAAACTCCCCAGCCTTAGTTAAGCCTTGAGACGACTGCAGCCCCAGCCAACAGCTTAACTGCAATTTATACATGAATAAAAGACCCTGAGCCAGAACCACCCAACTAAGCTGCTCCCACACTCCTGCCCCTCACAAACTGTGATAATAAACATTTGTTGTTTTAAGCTACTAAACTCTAGGGCAATTTGTTACACAGCAATAGATAACTAATACAAGCTTTTTTTTTTAAAGATTTTTATTGGGGAATTAGAGGGATGGGAACAGAGCTGGGGAATTGGGGAGGGGGAACAGACAAGTTGCTGTCGTTTTTGTTCTTCAGTCTAGTTGTGGAGGACGTTGCTTCACTGGCCCAAGTTGGCACCATCATTGCGCTCTTCCCGGGCGAGGCAGATCAGTCGCCAGCTTCTGGATGGCCGCTCACTGCGGCTGCTGGCCGCTCACGCTGGCTGCTGGCTACACACGGTAGCCCTTGGCAACCCACTGCCACAGGGGCTGCAGCCTATGCCGTTGCCGGCGACTCACGGCAGCCCAGCTCCAGGTTGAGCTGTTGTTCAGCATCTTAGCTGTGGAGGGCAGTGTCACTGGCCCTCATATGTGGGATCCGAACCGGGGCCCTCTGGCGTTCCAAGCCAGTTCTTAACCATCGCGCCACTTGGCCGGCCCTAATACAAGCTTTTTTATATTGCTATAATTTATTTTCATGATATGAAAACACCAAACAACCAGCACCAGGTTCCTACATGTTACTTGGAAAACGACTTAAGACTAAAAAAGACACTGAGCATTGTCCTTATCAAGGTAAAAAAGATGAGAGAAGGTTAAACATACTGTTCATAACCCTCAAAAGATCCTACAACAATAGAAAAGTTCTATACTATTTATCCACTGCAAAGCCACTGAAACAGTAGCAAGCTGAGGAATGATTTAGAAAAAAAAGTACAAAGAAAACAGAAAAGACAAAAGAAAGAATTGGAAAGATTGTGACTAGAATTCTGTAGGAAATCAAATTAAATGAGTAGCTACTTTTTTAAAATCACATACAAATTTCAAAGTGTAAAAACTACAAGAATTGAAATAGGCTCCCTTACTTCAAAATAAAACTCACTAATTCCCCTTTGTAGAAAATAAATTCTCCTTTTGGTTTTTATCAGAACTGCCACAGGAGAAAATGAGCAATGAAACAATACAAATTTTCATGTGTCAAGTCTTCAAGACTTGACAAGGTAGAATATCTGAGTTAGCTATTCTTTAAGGCTAAATTAAATGAAATTCTTCTGTATTTTTTAAATAAAAATTAGAAAAAGAATTAAAGTACTTCAGGAATCTATGCTTCAATTATCCTGACAAAGGTTTTACTCTCCCAATAATATAATTTATGAAAATGTGGCAACATTTTGTGAAGATATTAAAGACCCTATTAATGACTCCTACTTGAGAATAGTGGCATAATCTCCTCCCCGCCCCCCTTAGAAATCACCCAAACAAGGAGAATAAAAACAAAACTGCAAATTCCTTTTCTGGTAAAATTAAGATATACCTAAACCCAATCCTCGAAATATGTGGAAGGGCTCCCAAAAGCAATAAAGATCATTCAGGGACTCAAAAGACTAGAACCAGAGAAGGAAAACTGTTTATCGCACAAAGAGGCAAGATAAACTTCTCAAAGTATAAAGCCTAAAACCCATGTTTAGAATAATGAAAATAAGATACACATGCTACAGGCAGAAACTCTTCAGATTGGTTCCAACAATAACTCAGACAAGGCATAGCTTAAAGAGAAATCATTCATCTTTTCTGCTAAACTTACGTGCTCTCATTCCAACAACCCCATAAGCCCTATCCAACTTATTGAAATGTTTCCAGATGAGATTTAAATATTACCTAAAGCTAAAAATAAAAAGATATACAGGCCTCAATATGTATAACTATGTTAACTATGTTGTCCATTTATTTAATCATCAAAGGGTTTAGAAAGAATAACCTTCACATTCAGACAAACTAATAACAATGATTCATTGTGGTATAAAAAATATAGCAGGAATCAAGCTTTACTTTTTTATTTTATCTATTTATCTATCTAGCTATTTGTTTGTTCATTTGTTTTTGGATATAACAATACCATTTTTCCAATGATTTGAAATGTCATCTTTATCATGTATAAAAACCATATAAAAATTCCTTTTGGGAATTCTCATGTCTCATTCTTTGGTCTGTGTCTCTATTTATACACTGTACCAAACTTTTAATTAATGAAGCTTTATAAAACATTTGATGCCTAGTAGACCTCTGCATCTCACTCCTCTCTTTTTTTAGAATTTTCAATATATTCTTATGTGCTTATTTTTCCATTAAAAATTATAGGTGTTCCAAATTTTTAACATATCATTGGTATTTTTATTGTGACCACATTTTTAGATTAATTTAGGGAGAATTTATCTTGAGTCTTCCCATCCAAGAACAGGATATGTCTCTTAATTAAGTCTCAGTACATAATTCTTTAAATACAAAATTCTATCAAGTGACTATCATTATTCAATACTTATCAATATTATGAAAGGAATACTTTTGTAGGTAAGAAATGATTTTCCTACCTACAAAAGTAAATATAGTTGACCCTGAACACAGGTTTGAACTGTGCAGGACCACTGATATGTAGATTTTTTTTCAGTAAATATATTTTCTCTTCCTTATGATTTTCTTAATATCGTTTTTTTTTTCCACTAAGGTACTTTATTGTAAGAATACAGTATATAATACATACAACATATAAAATAAGTGTTAATCAACTGTTTCTGTTATCCATAGGGCTTCCGGTCAACAGTAGGTTATTGGTAGTTAAGATTGGGAGTCAAAAGCTAATGAAAATTTTTTACAATGCTGGAGGTCGTTGCCCCTAACCCCATTGCCCACTCCTACCCCCACACTGTTCAAGAGTCAACTGTATTCTCCTTAAGTAAATATTAGGAAATGTTCACAGATACCTTCTCCTTTAAGAGCCAACTATAGTTGAGAGACACTGTATTAGAGTGCATAAAACAAATGTTTAACTTTCCTCAAAAGGCTGGAGGAAGAGGAGTGTGAAGGAGGCATAAAAATTGGTAAGATCAAAGTTCTATCCTCAAATGGCTTTCAATTTAGTAGAAAAACAAGAAAACATGAGAAACAGGGACAGGGCCACCTTCTTCAGTTCTTTTGCTTAAAAATTTCTCCCATAACCCCATTTAAGCAGCAAAAAGAAAAAAGAAAAAAAAAAACAGAAAAAATGTGGCTAAATCCTCTGAGACGGTGAACATTTTATGCTATTAATAATGATCTTACAGCAAATGGAATTTCTAGAAAGTTATAATCTGTAAGAATAAGGTAATCAGGAATAAAAGTGTAAAAGATTACCTATAGAGTTAGTTAAGGTACAGATAAAGCTTAATAGTTGTTCATTCTTAGGTAATGAACCAACTCTCAAGGTAAGGCATATCTGCCAGCATAATGCAGAAATACAAAATTCTGACTATACCCAAACCTTCCCTCACTATGGAATATATAACCTTAATGACTCCTATGAAATAAGTTCAGCATTTAGATTACAATTTCAGTTTAAATAACAGTTGAAAAGATTAAAAGATATATTATTCAACTTGAAAGGCAGAAAATATCAAGGTCCTCCATATTACATCCTGAAAAAAAGATATAATAAAATCTCAAAGCATCTTATAAAGAGTGTTGATAGTCTACCATAAAAAATAATTTTAGAATAGCAATGACTTGCAATATATGCTTAGCCCTGAATCCATGACCTCTCTGTCCAGTAAAAGCATTTGGGAAACTTGGACTGCAGAGACAAGTCACTTTTTGTAGTTATCTGGTGGATTTCTATGCTTTGCAATCAACGTGGAAAGTAATGAGTAAAGCAGTACATGTTATTGCTCTTTCTGCCTCCATTTCTTTAAGTAAACCCTGGTCCAGATCTCAAAACTTTTGTTTCCAAAGAAAAACAGTCCAGGGCTAAAGCCTGGGCAATAGCTCACATTTCACACAAAAGAAAATGTCCTGTGGTAAGCCTTCCTTCTATCTACCACAACATCCACTTTCACAATGTTGTGTTTTATTTCATGCTTTTTTGATTGTCATCAATCAGAAGGACAATTCTATTCTTTGTTGGATAACTGGTCTATGCTTCCAAAAGTGAAAAGCTCACTGAAATAGAAGCTGCAGCAGTTGAGAATCAGGTCACAGATGTGAATGAGACAAAGTGAGAAATGGCTCTGAAGCTTAACAAGCCAAGAAATACTAGATGCAGGTGATGCAGAACAGGCAGAAGGACACAGTAAGGATAATAAAGCTTCAAACTCAAAACAGTAGAAAGATCAAACTGAAGAAATAATAAGCATTTTGAAAGAAATTAAGTTTTTCTACTTTTAAAAACAATTAGTATATGATTTACTTGCCCCAAAAAATGTCTTCTGAATCATAACAGCAGATCCAGTAGATGACAATTTGTGGATAACCATTAAAATCAGCAGAGTAGTCATTCTTTTGCAAATAGACAGAAAGCTTTTATAATCAGAAAATCAATTTTTATATGGAAATGGATGTCAAGTAGATTTTTTCAAAGTTTTTAAAAATGCTTAAGTCAACTAAACATCTCACACTTATGCCCTTTTTAAATTTCTTTTCTCCTCTCTTTTTATGAAAAAATAAAAGGGAAACAAAGGAAAAAGGCTCATCATCATAAAATCCACTACAATACCTGAAAGAAGCATTCCATAGATTTCAAAAGAGAAGGAAAATTGTTAAATAGCAGAGACAGTTATTCTGTAATATGCATGCACTCAATTTTTGGCTCTTTTATCTACATACAAAGTTAAAATTTTATGAGCTCCAAAAGTTCCAACTTGAAAACACGCCCTACACTAAAGACTAACCAAACAAAAAAATTTTACTCTAGTCGTCCCAAAGAAAAAGATCCAACCCTCTCCCTCATGTCAAAACAAAAAACCTAAGTATCACCCTGATTCCTCCTTTTCCCTTACCTCCCATTTTCTCCCATCAAGTTGTCTCAGTTTTACTTCCAAAACATTTACAAGTCATCTATTCATCTCCACTTCCACTGGTCAGTACAATCCATATTCATGGTTTAGAGTAAACTTCTGTAACAGCTTCCTAGTTGATCTCCCCATTTTTACTCTTGTCCTCCCCTTATTCAATCTCTACAAGGCAGCACACATGATCCTCTTAAGTCTCATCATGCCATTCTTCCACTGAAACCTTTACAAGCTTCCCATTTCACCCAAAATAAAATTCAAACTTTTCTCCATGACCCTCCATAATTTATTGGGTCATCGGGAAAGTCATGACGTATTTTTTCTGTTTTTCAATGCAAAATGCATCATGACTTTCCTGACGACCCAATAGATCCTACCTGATTTTGCAAGCTCCCTTCGTACCACTCTTTCTCTCCATCACACATTCCAGATATACCTATCTTTTGGACCCTCAAATAAGTCATGCTCTCTCCTACTTCACAGCCTTTGCATTTTTTTGCTCTCTCTTTTCTCTCAACTCTTTAATTTTGGTTTTGTAAGAAATTCAAACAATACCAAAAAGCATATGGAAAAAAAATCACTACTTAAAATTCCACCACCTAGAGAGAATTATCATTAATAATTTGAGGATAATCATTTCCTACATCTCTTTATGGATATATGTGCTATTATATACTGTATATACAAATAATATTCCATAAATTCTAACTGTTTGCATACTGGTTCTTTCATACTTTAGTTCTCAACTCAAATACCACCTCCTCAAAAGAGACCTTCCAGGACCAACCTAAAGAATCTCTATCACACTGTTTATTTTCTTTGTTGTACTTATCTCTCTCTAAATTAACTATGTTTGTTTGTTTACTTGTCTCTCATTTTTTGTCTATCCAACTCCAATAGAATGTAAGCTCCATGAGGACACAGGTCTTGTCACTACGTTCTCAATCACTAGAGTCTAGCCTAATACACCTGCAACACATTGCAGGTGCTCAATATTTACTGAAGGAACAGATGATGGCTTTGATTTGACATTTATAAGCTGCCAAATCCTAAATTTACATCTCCTATTCAAATTTCTCTCCGGAGCTTCATACTCATACTTAACCATTCTACTTGGCAGCTCTCTCTGAATAGAAACACAGGTATTTAGTCTCAGTGGGTCACCAAACCTGCTCCTCCTAATGTTGTTCCCTATTTAGATGGCACTACCATCAACCAAATTTCCCAAGCAATAAACTTGAATTTCCTCCTTGATGTAATTCTTTCCCTTCACCCCACATCCAACTAACGACTAAGAACCTATCCATGTTGCCTCAATTCTACCTCCTAAATCTCTTCAATCCATCCAATGTGCTTCTCTTCCCTGCTACCATGACCCAAGTGCAAATCACCATCAATCATTTCTCCCCTAGACAATGTAATAACTTTCTAACTTGCTGTTCCAGATGCATTCTTATTCCTAATTCATTCTCCACACTGTAGCCCCAATGGTATTTTAAAAATAACAAAATGAGGGCCGGCTGAGTGGCGCGATGGTTAAGAACTGGCTTGGGACGCCAGAGGGCCCCGGTTCGGATCCCACATATGAGGGCCAGTGACACTG